TAACAATTCCTTATACATCATTTTTTATAAAAAAATGCTAAAAAAAATTCCTTATAAAATATAAGGAAATGTGATACGGAATTTTAAAAATGTATACAAAACTTATTTATAATAATGAAAAAACGTATGTAAATTTTTTATAGGACCTGATCATCATATCAGATACCCTTGATGCTCACTTTTTGTAGACAAAAAAGAAAAGAAAAACAAATGAGAAAAATATTCAAGAGAAGTGGCAAAAAAAATATTTTAACGAAAAAAACACCACCGTTTGAACTAACAATGAAATATTTTTTGATTAAAGGTATGGGAAATAAAGAGAAATATTTTTAAAAAGGGAAGTTATTATTTTTATTCGCAGGCTAAGCTGTAGCTGCCCTTGAACGAACACATTTTTTACGTAAAAATTCTTAGACAAAATCCAATGAGAAAGAGTTCAATTCGTTTAATATATTTAATTTTATTAACAACGTTATCATAATTTTTATCATTTTCGTTATTGTAATAGTTTTTGTAATTTTGTAATTCTGACTGGTTGATTGCTAATTCGTGTTAAGGATTTACAGTTCTGTTTGGTAATAATCTACAAAATTATACTTAATCATTCTTTTTGAAATATCTCACTAAATATTGATCCAATTAGGTCATGTTTATATTCATTAAAAAGTTCTTGTCAAGATGGTTTTAATAATACTATTTCTATCAAAATGTTGATCATTAGTTCAAGAGTTATTCCATTTAATACTTCCCTTCTTAAAGAGTAAACTTCATCGAATACTTTCTAAACAAATTTTCTTTGTTATGAATTTTTTATTTGCAGATCTTCAATAACAAAATTTTCAATTTGTTCTATAAAATTACAAATCTTATCAATCAATTGCATGATTTCCATTTTAAAGTTTCATTCTTTAAAAATATCATGCTATAATCATCAACAAATTTGAACTAATAGTTATTTGTTTATATTTCTGTAGGAAAGAATTCTTACGATCTTGAGAATTTTTAAGAATTTTACACAGCTGCTTTCTTTGATTATAAATATTCGTTAAATTTTTTCTTCTATTTTTCTTCAAAATTTTTGTTTTTTTTCAAAAATTATTGTAAAAATTTTAAACTTTATAAAATATTTTTCAACTATCACTATAGTTCGAGTAATAAAAAAAAAAGTCTCCTTTCATCTATTGCAGAGCTTTAGCTTGTCAAAGAAAATACTTCAGTGAAAAAGTTTTTCAAGGTATACCTGAGAATGGTATAGACATGACAGCTTGTGAAATGGAACACATTTCATACAGATTTTATCCTACTCAATTGATATATGCATCCTATTTAATGTTTGAGGACTATGATAATATATTCGAGCTTATCTTAATATGACTGCAGCATATTAACTTTTTGCCTTCTATAAAATAGAAGATATGAAAACGATCTAAGAAGAAACTCCTTTGGAAAAAAAATCCTGAAGATGAATCTTTAAAATTTTGATTTGATTTGCTTTTATCCGATGTTAACCTTACGCTCAACCGTCAAACTTAGGGTAACTATGATTTAATAACAGGAAGTAACGTACGAGAAACTACTAAGTTACTATGGAATAAGTCCTATCACAATCAACCTTAGGTTTATACTTTAAATGAGTAAAATAACTTTAACAACTTGTAATCACGATAAACACAATTGACACGTTGAAGGATTTTTAAATATGTAGTTTAGAAAGAGATTCCTTTATTGTAGAGATTTGTATCCTTAGCAATCCTTAACCTTGGATTCTAAGTCTTTAACTCGAACTATTGAGTTATCTCTGTTATCTCTGCCCTTTTATAAGGACAAATTTCTATCCTATTTATATAAAAATACAATTATAAGAAATTGCTAACTATCACTAAAATATTTTATAAAGATAAAATAAATATAAAAGATAAATTATATTTTAACGATGATAATAATTTAATAAATAATAATAATAAAATATAAGAATAAAATAAATTAAATAAAAACGTTGATTAAGTTAAAAATGCTAAAGGAGTTAATAACGTTAATCATTTGTCAATCTTTGTGACGCAGTAAGATTGACTTCACATGGTATCACCGATCATAAATATTTGAAGGATACATTAACTAAATATTCTTCTCTTTTATCTCAGAATGTGATACGAATGAAAAACTTGAAGGAATAATCTGATGACTTAAAGATTATATTAAATTTATTCACTCTATAGTAAATAATTTGATGGTAAAATTAGAATGATTATGAAAATATAACAAGTTCCTTTATGATCAGATGATTGAAAATAGAGAACTCTATAATTTTAACATGAAACTTGAACTTTCTCATGTTGATCCTATAGGTGATGAATCTTCTCAATTTCTCTAACTTTTTTATCATGTTTGTAATAATTAACAATTATTAACATTAATAAAAGGGGATGTCATATGCTTCAGCTAATCTATATTTATGCTTCCTTTCCTTTTCTTTTATCTTATAATTTCTTTTGAGTTTTTTTTTCTTTCTATCTATATAGCTTTTAAATAGTCTTCTTTTGTTGTATTTTTCTAAATTTTCTGAATTTCATGTATCTCTTTTTCTATTCTATTAATAAATCTTGTATATTACTGCACTTTTGACTTTTAAATCTATAATTATCTAATAAACTAAATATTAAATAACTAAAAATAAAAATAAAATGAACTAAATATAATGTTATTAAAAATAAAATATATAAAAATGAAAAAAATAAATTTATTACTTTGATTGCACTAACTGCACTACTAACTCTAATTATCTTCTCCTTAAAAAATTGAGCTACTGTGAAATTAGAATGGTTAACAAAGTGATTGATATTCAATCATTTTTAATTTTTTAATTAAAAAAAGTATTGTAAACTTTGATCGATAAATTTGAGAAATATTATTTTCAAAAATAAAATAAGTACTTTCAGCTGCTCTTCGATAATAAGGTGTAACTGTTTTTCTAATAATATCTTTAAGAATTTTATGTGAATCAATTAACATTTCTAAATAGTATGCATAAGTTAAAATAGAAATACACTGATGTAATCTTGCAGATCTAACCATCTGCCTATAAGTTAATTTTAATTTTAATTCCATATGATCATCATCATTATATAGAGATAAAATCACTAAAACATTCTGAGGGTCAACTTCTAAAATGTCAAGACTTATAAGATCATATGGAGTAGCCATTTTTGAATTTTCTTTTTGAATTTTAAATTTAGAAAGGGTAGTCTTTATATAAAAATTTGAGGTTCTAAAATATTTTTATAATACATTTTAAGTCAATGTATTATATCTTTAATCAATCTATTATCCATATTTCTTAATTTATAATTTTTGCCTTATACCTTATGTATAAAATAAGATCCTATCTAGCGCTTTTCTAACTTTGCAGAAAAATTAGTTTTTAACCATATGCGTTCTACTAATACTTTGTCACCTATTTTAAATTTCTCAAATGTTGCACTAATATCATATTGATCTTTTTATTTTATTAATCAACCTTAATTTAGTTAAGAGCAATTTGTCGATCATCTTCTAATTGATTGATTATCTTAAATAATCTTTCCATTAATACATCCTTAATATTTTTGTCATTACTCAATTCTGTTAGAATTTTTAATTTAATTGGTAACTTTGCTTGTCTTCTATAAAGAAGGTAAAAAGGTGTATAACCAGTAGTATTATGCTTCATTATACGATAAACAAATAAAACTGATTCTACATATTCGTCTTATTCTTTTTCTTTATTAGCAACTAATTTAGCAAAATGTTCTATTGAATTTTTCAACTATACTATTTGTTTGTGACCTATATACAGAAGTAAGTCGATATTTTATTTGAAATTTTTCACAAAGTATATCCACTATTTTATTCATAAAAGAAATTCCTCTATCAGATAGAAGTTCTTCTGAAATACCATATCTGCAAATAATTTCATCAAAAAATAAACTTTACAACTATTTCTGATTTAATATTCAGTATTGATTTTGCTTCAGACCATTTTATAAAATAATCTATAGCAACAAATATGTAACGATTTTCTTGAGAAATCCTAGATAATGGTCCTTTTATATCAATTCTAACTCTGTAAAAGGATGTTTTTACTTCAAATAATTGCAAAAGTTCTTTTCTTTTAGATGATTCTCTTTTCTGTCAATTGTTACATCATTAAATGTAACTCTTAACATCATTAAACATCTAAGGCCAGTAATATTTTTCCTTTGCTTTTTCATAAGTAGCATCAATTTCAAAGTAAACTCCTATCATATTTTTATGAAGATTATAAAAAATAATTTCTACTTATCTACACAGAATTACGCTTTTATTTTCATTTCTAGTTCATTTAGTTAATAGGTTATTCTTCATCATGTATTGAGTTAAATTCTTTTGTAGTTTAATCTGTTAAAAATTGTTCAAATCTGATAGGTATATAAGAGTTTTTAAATACTGGATTAGATTTTCATAAAATTCATTATCCATTATTGAAAAAATCTAAAGTTTGATGAAAATAATAAATTTTTTTGAGTTGAGTCAAAATCATATAGGTTTATCTAAGATAAGGCATTTACATTTTCATGATGTTTTCCTTTTCTATATTTTACCTTATAACTATATTATTGTAAGGTAAGTCTCTATCTCATTATTCTTTTATTTTCAGTTAACTTTGATTTAGTATTTAATAACCATTGTAGTGCTACATGATCAGTAATTATTATGAATTTACAGCTAAAAATATAATATCTAAAATATTTACTACCCATATAATAGTCAAACATTTCTGTTCTGTCATATTATAATTCTTTTTAGCTAAATTCAAAGTTCTATTAGCATATATGATCACATGCTCTTTTTCATCATCTCCTTTCTGAGATAATATTGTGCCTAAACTAATCTGAGAAGCATCAGTATAAAGAATAAAAGGTTTATCAAAATTTGAGTACATGAAGATAGGTGCAGTTATCAATTTTTCTTTCAACATATTAAACACTCTTTGTCTTTCATCATTCTATATATAACTTTCCTCTTTTTCTGTCAGTTTATATAATGGAGCTGATATTTTTGAAAATCTTAATAAATTTTCGATAGTAAGAAGTTAATCTTAGAAAAGCTTTTAATTCTGTTAGATTTCTTAGTCTAAAATAATTAACAACTTTTTTAATTTTTGAGGGATCAGGCTGGATTTCTAAAAACTTTATTTCATTAGTACAAAAATGATATTTATCTAGTTTGATTCTCAAATTAGCTTTTCTAATTTGATCAAAAACTAATTGTAAGTGCTGTAAATATTCATGAAATATTTATGAGTAGATGTTTAGATCATCTATATAAACCTTAACAAACTTTTATTTTTCCTTTTGAAAAATAGTGTCTATCGTACTTTAAAAAGTAGCTGAAGTATTACATAATTCAAATAACATTACTGTGAGCTTGTACAATCCTTTACTAGTAATGAAAGCAGTTTTCTCTACATCTTTTGGTCTAATTTTTATTTGTTAGAATCCTAAGAATAGATTTAAAAAAATAAACTAACAAGAGTCTTGAAGTGAGTCCAATAACTTATCTATTCATAGTAATAGGTAATTATCTTTTCTTATGATTGTATTAAGTTCTTTATAGTTAACGCATATCTGCATCTGACTATTTTTCTTTTTGACTAAAACTATAGGTGTAAATTAAAGACTATTAGATGGTCGAATCACTTTTTGTTCTATTATTTCTTCAATTTCTGATGCTATTCATTCTTTTTCTTTGGAAATGTTGTATATAATCTCCCTTTTATTAGATGCATATCTTTTGTGATAATTGCATATTGAGAAATGTTAGTTTATATTACAGTCATAGATTTTATCAAATATAGAATTTTTAAATACAGTATTGATCGATAAATGATCAATATTCTAGAAGTTCATAGAAATTTGCTGATTATTCTAAAATTATAAATGATCGACAAACTAAAATATATTAAATATATTAACCATGACTGGTGGCTTATGTTTTTTTAATTTCTTTTTTTTTATTATTTTTAGCGAAGATGCGGAACTTTTTTGCGTGATATGTTGAATGATTATATAATCAATCAACTGTAACCATCATCTAGAGCAATTTATTAATAAGTTTCTTTTTTATTTTAATTTAAATTTTTTTTTACTCCTTTTCTCCCCCTCCCTCTCCCTCTCTCCCTCTCCCTCTCTTCCTTTCTTTCTTTTTTTCTCCCTCCTTTTTTTGTAAGAACGACTTCAGATTCTGAATTTTTTTGGAGATATATCTTTCAGTAAGTTACAGGCGAAATGGGTGGAGTTCTTCATTAAGAAAAAATGTTACTAACATTTTTTTTCCTTTATTTTTTTTGTAGGAACAACTTCCAGTAACCTTTGGCTCTTAGAATTTCTCTTGGATCAGCTCTTAAAAATAGGTTTTAAATGGGTAGGATTCTTCTTTGAGAAAGAATGTTACTAATGTTCTTTTTTCTTTCTTTTTTATAAGAACAGCTTTTAAGAACATTTGGATTATGAAAGTTCTCTTGGGTCAGCTCTTAGAAGGTAGGTTTTGAATAGGGTGGGATTCTTCTTTGAGAAAGAACGTTTCTAACATTCTTTTTCTCTCTTTTTTGTAAAAATGGCTTATAAGAACCTTTGGACTATAGAATTTCTCTTAGATCGGCTCTTGAAAGGTAGGTTTTGATAGGGTAGGATTCTTCTTTAAGAAAGAATGTTTCTAACATTCTTTTTTCTTCCTTTTTTATATAAACGGCTTCTATGATTATTTGGATTAGTGAATTTCTCTCAGATTAGCTCTTGGAAGGTAAGTTTTAAATGAGGTGAGATTCTTCCTTAAGAAAGAATGTTACTAATGTTTTTTTTCTCTTTCTTTTTTTGTAAAAACAGTTTCTAAAAACCTTTAGACTATGGAATTTCTCTTGGATTGGCTCTTAGAAGGTATGTTTTGAATGGGTGAGATTCTTCTTTGAGAAAGAATGTTATTAATATTCTTTTTTCTTTCTTTTTTTATAGGAACAGCTTCTAGATCATAGAATTTCTCTTGAATTAATACTTTAGCTTTATAACTTATTTTATGAATTATGTAATTCATAGTAATAGTATTTCATTTAATAATATCTTAATATTTTATTTATTTGATAATATTAGTTGGTAATGTACAAAATTTTTGAATACATTATAAATAAATAAATAGATCATTTAAATGTTATATTTCTTCGTTAGTATTAATGCTATTTTCAACCAATATATTTCTAATTTCTTGAAGGATATTTACTAAATCAGCATGGAATTTACTTGATAAATCTCAAAAATGTAATCAATCTAAATCACTTAAAAAAGGAGTTAAAGAGTTAATAATAGATAAAATTTGTATTTTTATTAAGGAACTCTCAGCTTTCTGAAAGATCCGCTTCTTCACATATTACAAGAATTAGATGCCAAGTGACCAATGATAATTTTTTAATTAGCTTTGCTTTAATAAATTCAATTTTTTCATACATGCAATTTCACTAAACCTTTCCATTTCTTCATTTAAGGTCTAATCTCCGCTCATATTTGAAAAATACGATTACTGACATTTGGATTTATAAATTGAGTTTTTCTTATTTGAATCTAAAATCGATATGATTCAGCAATAAAACCAGGATGAGTACGAGACCCATGAGTTTCACTTTCAGAAAATCCTATTATATTAAAAAGATTAACACGCAACTTCAAAAATTTGGTACAATTATATGCTGCAATTTCTCAATGTCACTGTGAAGGTATAGGAGGAATTAATGACTTAAGTGTCTTATTAATTTCTTCAAGTATTGCATCATGACCTTGATGTTGATCTAAAGTTTAGATCGTGAAGTTACAATTTTTTCTTGAATTAAACTATATATTTCAGGTTTTAATCGTAACATTTGTTCTTCATCAGTAATCTCAATTAACCGATAAATTGGATG